AAATACTGCCCACACAGCATTCACTGCACCCAAATACTGCCCACACAGCATGCACTGCACCCAAATACTGCCCACACAGCATGCACTGCACCCAAATACTGCCCACACAGCATGCACTGCACCCCAACATACCCACATAGCATTCACTGCACCCCAACATACCCACATAGCATTCACTGTACCCCAAATACTGCCCACACAGCATGCACTGCACCCCAATATACCCACACAGCATGCACTGCACCCCAATATACCCACACAGCATTCACTGCATCCCAATATACCCACACAGCATTCACTGCTCTGTACCCAATATACCACATAGATCGCTCTATACCTGAATATACCCACATAGCTCGCTCTGTACCCAATATACCACATAGATCGCTCTATACCTGAATATACCCACATAGCTCACTCTGTACCCAATATACCCACATAGCATACTCTGCACCCCAATATACCCACATAGCGTGCTCTGTACCCCCAATATACTCACATAGCATGCCCATGTACCCAAATAGCATGCACTATACTGCCAACATAGATTGGTCTGTACATCAATATACCCACATAGCTTGCTCTGTACCCAAATACTGCCCACATAGCTTGCTCTGTACCCCAATATACCCACAGTTCGCTCTGTCCCCAATATACCCACACAGCATGCCCTGTACCCCAATACTGCGCCCATAGTATGCTGTGTACCCCAATACTGCCCACATAGCATGATCTGTAACCCAATATACACATAGCATGCACGGTACCCCAATACTGTCAACATAGCTTGCACTGTACCACAATATACCCACATAGCATGCTCTGCACCCAAATATAGCTTGCACTGTACCACAATATACCCACATAGCTCACTCTGTACCCCCAATATACCCACATAGCATTCCCTGTACCCCAATACTGCACCCATAGCATGCTCTGTACCCCCAATATACCCACATAGCATGTCCTGTACACCAGTACTGCGCCCATAGCATGCCGTGCCCCAATATACCCACATAGCATGCCCTGTACACCAGTACTGCGCCCATGGCATGCCCTGTGCCCCAATATACCCACATAGCATGCACTATACTGCCAACATAGATTGCTCTGTACCTCAATATACCCAAATAGCATGCTCTGTATCCCAATATAACCACATAGGTTTCTCTGTACCCCAGTAGTGCCCACATATAATGCATTGTACCTCAATATACCCACATAGCTTGCCCTGTACCTCACTATACCCACATATCCTTTGTATCCCAATACTGCCCTAATTGCACCTCATTAGGAAGGGCCTGGATCCCCATTTGATGGGTTGGGGGGGGACCACCACTCTGTCCCCCTCTTCCCCAGCTTAATATTCGGTTTGTGATTGTGGTGGCTTGTAGGGTCTTCCTCCCAACACACTTTGTTGCTGATGTTTCAGGTTGTGGCTTTCAGATCCATGGTCCAGGGTCTCCGCTCTGATAGGAAAAACCTCTCTAACCCAGTACAAGCTGACCTGATCCAGGATTCTCAGCTTCAGGGCAGAAAACTGACAAAGTCTTTGTGGAATGGTGTCATCCTGTGACAGTGTCACATTGACAGTCACTGAGCTCTGCCTTACAGACCATTGTACCGTCAGTTTACAGCAACTGAATGGCTGCTGCAGCATTACACACCGGTCAGTAGGTGTGAATGGAAATACACAAACCTAGCTGTCTGAAGCAGTGTGTGTAGTTTGGTCCATTAAATGCAATAACAATTAAAAAAAATAAAAATAGTATAAAATTCTTTACTGGGATGTAGTGTCTTATTCAGCACATTCAAACCTCATAAAGGTCATGTCACTTGGGATAGTTCTAAGTTGCCCCATAAATAATTTTGGCTTTTTATTAAGTGTATGACAATGCAATGTTCTTTACATTTCCTTTAGTCCCTTCTCTACCTGTCTGAACACCCAATTTCCTACTTCACTGACATCACCAACCAATTAAGGCTAAAACTTGCTATTGTTCACACACTGTAACTGAAGGCAAATGTGTATTACATGTGACAGATCAATTCGTATGTACCAATTATGGATCTCACAAAACAAGAGACAGAAATAAATAAAACAGACAGTTGTTAGATTTCCATATTCTGGAATAGTTTAATAAAATGGCACCCATTAATAAGAGCAATAACATAAAAAAATAAACTCTGGAGTGCAAACTTTACAAAAGTCACATTAACTTTTTATATTCTACATTAAAGGCCAGGTTTTACTTCTGAAATTTGACGTCAAATTAAGTTGTTCATTTTCAAGAGGGAACAAGTGCTTAATACGAGAGCTGCAGAGACTCTATAGTCAGAGAGAGACATTCAATAAGGGGATTTATTACCTTAACTCCAAATTGTAGCAAATATGTAGGCCACCAAGATTTGTAACGATTCTACAACACTACAGTCACTGCTTGGTTAATTTATCTTGCACTTTCCAGTTCTGATTATAATTTGCTACAACGTGGCGTTTAGAGAGTCACTGCTTCACATAACAGTCCTCACGCCTCTTGATAGGACAGGAATTTGGGATTAACCAGTTCTTTTCAACGGAGCTGAATGAGGACTGTTTTAGGAAGCACTGCAAAAATCGAGAATTGTGGGACATGACAAACTGAATTCCCAGGGCAACGGGCAACAAAAACAGCATGAGAAATTTTAAGCCAAAAATCTTTTTTTCTGAATATTAAATTTTTCCCCCGTTTGGTTGCTTTAGCTTGAAATGTGCAAATTGCTTTGTTATAGCTAAGAAATCCTACTCTGGAGAATAGAACCATGCGCTTGCTGCAACATATTCAGCAGTTCTGAATAATGCTAACTGAAGAGGAAACCTTTGTAACCAGCAGGGAACCAATTTAGAAAAATAATCAGTTTTCCAACAGTTTTGGGAAAATACCCAGGGACAGCACAGAGCAAAGATTTGAAAACAAAGATCGTTTCATTTGTTACAAAAGAACAAAATCTTAGAAAGGCATACATTTTGTGACGAGCGCAAATCACAAAATTCATATTAAAAAAAAATTTAAAAAAAATTGCCGAACACATTCATTTCACGTTTGTGCTATAAATATATTTTCACTCTCCAGCCATCACTTATATTTTTTTTGATGAAGTGTCAGGAGCTAAAAACAGAAAGAGCATTATGGAAATTACCAGAAAGTTCCTGCATATTGCTCCAGTTTTAGAGCTCATTGCCATTATGTGCCATATGACCATCACCCTGCGTGTTCCACGTTAAACATGGCTACGCGCCATTCTTTCAGAGTTGACTTAGCGCCAAGTCTTGCTGACGCTAACATTTGAGCAATTTTACAGAGACTCAAGTATTATTTGTTCCAAAGTTTGCATTCGAGATTGACTCATTTTAACATTTACCTCGAAAAGGTCAGCACTGTGTCCTCACCCAGCTATACCCAATAATACTCTGATACCAGATAGTAACAAACATATTACTACTAACAGTTTCCTAAAGTGTAGCATCCAACAAGTAGGAATTACTGGCAGTCACAGTAAAACTATCAGAATTTACGGACTAAATGGAGATGCAGTGCCACGCTATTTGCAAGTGGTTTCTGAAGGCCAGAAATTGAGGCTAAAGAAAAGCGTCAGGAATTGGAACACATCTAGTATTTTATATGGGCCTTACGGGGGATATCACTTCCAGAAGCAAGACCAGAGTGTGATGCTGCAAGAAATGACGCTTGGTCCCATAACATTAACGGTAGAATTACGCTATGGAGGACGCGCTCTACACTGTCGTAGGTACCACAAAGCTGTTTATTAATCCGAGGTCCGAGTTGAAGCTGCCATGCGGCACGTTTGAAGTTGCATTCAGTCCCCTCCGTAGAACTGGGGCGACAATACATTCCCCTTAATTGTTCCCAAAAGGCTGTAGCTCCCCTCCACATTTCAATTAGAAAACCTACTTAATACAGATAAATTCTTAAATAAGAATAAATAATAATGGCGTGGAGTGGAGCTACAGCTCCAAAGTATAAACATCTAACATAACCTACTGGTACCACACACTCCCAACATCATTCCTCTACAAAGGCAGCGGCAGCCATAGACGTTCTCATGCTTGCTCTGGTCGATGCTTTCAGGTCCTCTAATTCATTGTTTAATTTGCCAATTACCCATTCCATCGCATCTCTTCCCTAAAAATAAAAAAAAGGAAATACATCTTACTGTAAGGCAGACAAGATACCTGACATTAGTAGGAGCTCCATGTACCAATTATGGGATAAGACGGGTCATTACCCAGAATCCCTGGCTGCAGGGGTCGCTCTGTATACTGAGTGATTATGGGGTAAGGCGGATTATTACCCAGAATCCCTGGCTGCAGGGGGATTTCTGTATACTGAGTAAATATGGGGTAAGGCGGGTTATTACCCAGAATCCCTGGCTGCAGGAGGAGCTCTGTATACTGTGTGGTTACGGGGTAAGGCGGATTATTACCTAGAATCCCTGGCTGCAGGGGGTGCTATGTATACTGTGTGATTATGGGGTAAGGCGGGTTATTACCCAAAATCCCTGGCTGCAGGG